ATGGATGAGCGAATGGCACATACAGTCAATGCAACCCCAACTCAGGCCACAGTTTGGTTGCCATGAGTGCCAACACATTGCTCTCCCGTTTCGCCGCACATCTATGCGGGCGGTTAGCGATCAATACAACACTAGTCCCATCCCTTCCCCCATACGTGCGCTCACTATACCTACTCTTTGACACACCCTTTGGCCACACCTTAAACACCCATACCTTTCGCATTCAGTGAACTCTTATCTCAATTAATAATTTGTAAAATATGTGTATTTTGTAAACGTTTTTTACTATAAAAATTTCATTATTTTTTCACTAATTTTTCCGTCAATTAACAAACAATTCTGTTGTTTATTATTTTTAAATTATTTAATTTCAGACAATATTTTGAACATTATATCTGCTTTGAACAAAATTGCTGAAATATTAGAAATTGATCATGGTTATTTTATTTCAACATTTTTACGCAATTTTATTTATTTTGACATTTTTCATAACTTTTAACCAATTGTTTAAAGAGTGTAAAGAGTGTAAACTGTGCTAACGTTGCGTTCACTATAACGAGAGTATAGTGTACTGAACATAGGTTTCAAATAAACGTCACACAAACTAGTGTTGTATTGACTCACATATACGCCGAGTATTTATAGTAAATAACGAAAGTGTGTGCAAACGCCGATCCCTCTAACGGCTCGCATTCGTATGCATCGGAACCCATACTATACTCGAAACACTTTTTATTCACAAACACTTTACAATTCATATTTAATTATTACCTAAATTATTATGCACTTACTTACATTTATAATTATAATATTTGATAAATTGAGCTTCTTCTTAATAATTTTACATCTCTAAACAATTGAAAATTTAGTGTAATTGTAGTTAATTAAATTGTTAATATTTGTCAATTGATATTATAATATTTAATGAAATAAACATTAATTCAATCAATGCATGTTTACTAAACAAACTGATCATGTATATTATTAGTAATATTAAAAATAAACTCCAAAAATTGCTTATAAAAATGAGCACTAATGCGATTAATGCGGCAAAAATAGCGTAAAACTATGCGTTAATGTTTGGTGTGTCGATAGTATGGGTGTGTTTGCGTTCAATGGGTGTATGTATTGAATGTGTGGTAAAACACTCACTGTATGTGTTGTACACCATTTGAATCGCTGTTTAATTATTATTAATATATTTATATTGTGTTTGTATTAAATATACAGTGAATTGAAGTGATTATTAAAAATATAGCAATCATTATAAGAGTAGTAATGAATGAATGAATGCATTAAAACGTTGTCTGCATTTCATAACCGATGTGTGAATTACTATTGAACTAAACATTCAAACCATTCATTACTTACATATACTGTAGTTATAATTGATTTATAAAATCACATATAAATTGGTTATAGATTTTATACATTCATAAAATGTGAATTTAATTACATATTTATATATCCATTCATTAAAGTGTTGTTTATATTATTATTAATATTATTACAACTATTAATATTACGATTGGTATGTATTTTACGGCAAATATTAATTTGAATGAATAATTAATGAGTTTTTGTATTGCCTTTGGTTTTGCAGTTCATAGAAATCTCTTCATATTTAACGTTATATTTGGACTCAATATCCGATGTGAAGAGTGGAGAAGCCGTTGGCCTTATCTTCACTCTTATTCTCGTTATTATTATTAATAATAATTTTAATAAATAGTAATAATTAATAATCAATAAGTGATTGTTTTGTTGTCAACACTTGTTTGTATGTATGGTTACGATTGACAAGCATTTAGTGGCCACACATTCATAGGGCCGACAGTTAAGCGCATAGACTATAAAGTGCTATATTTTGTGGACATTTAATAATATATTTAATAATCGTTTGTTTGGTTTAATTGTTAATAAATTCAACCAAAAATTTGTGACCAAAACTCTCCGAAAATATTATTTTATTTTCATTTAAACCCATTTTTTGTTTTGTTTTTTGGTTTAATTAATGTCTTATTAAATGTCTTCGCGAAACGTATGGCGAGTTTGGGAGCGGTTTGTGTTGTCGTCGTCGTCATCGCTGTCGCCGGTCTTCACACTCACTGTCAGTGACTGTCCTAATGGTTGTCCGGCGCGAAGAAGCGCATCGGGCGCTGGAACTGCTTGAAGAGTACCACTCGTCGCTCACATCACCGCAAGACAAACAGTTGCGAAACGCCATCGAGAGAGTGATCCGCATATTTAAGTCGCGACTCTTTCAGGCGCTGCTCGATATCCAAGAGTTTTACGAATTGACTCTTTTGGACGCAAATAAGTCTGTCGTCCAGAAGACCACCGAAACCATTGACATCGCCTCCAAGTGGGAGAACTCGCCTCTGGTGTCCGGTTCGGGCAGTTCTCTGCAGTCAAATAGCAGTCCATTACTGGGCGGTGACAACAGTTACGAGCGGCTGTCGACCCGATCTTTTACCACCAAAAGCAGTGACGCCTTATATCGGGGCGAAGAAGACGCCGACATTAGGGGTAAACACGTGTTTATCGCCGACTCGTCGGAGGACATCGATTTGTCCCAATCGTTGGATGCGTTGTCGCGTATGGAAAGACTGACCCATTCCTCGTCTCCCTTTCCATTCATCAAAACAATGGCTGATTCGCCGAATCGAAAGAGCGGTGATATTATTCGTTCGGTTCTTCACAACAATAACAGCGATACCAACAATGAGAACCATTCGCACAACGACTTGATGAACGAAGAGCTCCTTCTGGAGGGCCAGTGGGAGTACGAAGAGATCACTCTCGAGAGGGGAAACTCGGGGCTCGGCTTCTCGATCGCCGGCGGCAAAGATAATCCGCACATTTCGGACGACCCGAGTATTTACATCACGAAACTGATCACAGGAGGCGCCGCCGCCAACGACGGCCGGCTACAGGTCGAGGATATAATCCTCAAAGTAAACGAATACGATTTGGTAGACGTCCCGCACTCGGCGGCCGTCGAAGCCCTCAAAAGGGCCGGAAATAGAGTGCATTTGTTGGTGAAGAGGCGAAAGTTGGCACAAATGCCCGCAAACTATCAGTTACTCGAAATTGAATTAATTAAAGGCAATAAAGGACTCGGTTTTAGTATCGCCGGCGGTATTGCCAATCAACACATCGCCGGCGATAATGGCATTTACGTGACCAAAATCATGGAGAGCGGGGCCGCGCATCTGGACGGCCGGCTCGACGTCGGCGACAAATTAGTGGCCGTCGGCGACAAGAATCTTGAGAACGTGACCCACGAGGAAGCGGTGGCCACACTGAAGGCCACCAGCGATCGCGTACTTCTCACTGTCATTAAATACAGACCACTCACACCAATACAACACAATCTGGTCTCTCATTACACGAATCGCAGTCATTCATCGCTGTCGGGCACCGCTTCGGTCGGCAATATAGCCGCCGCGGAACCGACGGCCGCCGTCTCCACGCGTTCACTACAGACACCGCCACTCAATCAGACCGTCGATTACTCGTCGGATATGTTCGCCTCTAAGTCTAGTGTCAACACTCCGAAGGCCTCGAGCGAAGAGGACATGACTCGTGAGCCGCGGCGTGTAGTGCTGTCGAAGGGCGGAACGGGTCTCGGCTTTAATATAGTGGGCGGCGAAGACGGCGAAGGAATTTTCATATCATTCATTTTGGCCGGCGGTCCGGCAGACCTCTGCGCTGAGCTTAAACGTGGCGATCAGGTTATGTCCGTCAACGGAGTCGACCTCAGGGGCGCGACTCACGAACTGGCGGCACAAGCGTTGAAAAACGCCGGACAGACCGTCACTCTTGTGGTGCAGTACAGGCCTGAAGAGTACAATAGATTTGAGGCAAAGATCCATGACTTGCGCGAACACATGATGATGAATACCACCGGAACACTGCGGACGTCGCAGAAGAAGTCACTCCACGTGAGGGCTCTCTTCGATTACGACCCGTTGCGTGACTCGGGTCTCCCCAGTCGTGGCCTTCCCTTCAGATTCGGAGACATTCTGCACGTGATTAACGCGTCGGACGACGAGTGGTGGCAATCGAGGAAACTGTTGCCCGACGGCGAAGAGGAGACCGGCTTTGGTATCATTCCATCGAAACGACGGGTAGAGAGGCGAGAGAGGGCTCGACTTAAATCTGTGAAATTTCACGGCAAGAATAACTTCTCGACCGACGGCAAGACGTCAACCATTGACCGCAAAAAGAAGAACTTCTCGTTTTCGCGAAAGTTTCCGTTCATGAAATCGCGCGACAGTAACGAAGACATCTCCGACGCCGACAGAGAGTCGCCCACCAAAGACGTGGGCAACGCCTCGTCAACCATATCAGTTCAGGCGGCGGTCGCGGCCAGCGGTGACTCCGAAGTGAGTTCACTCAAAGGCGATGAAATCATTTTGTCGTACGAAGCCGTCTCTCAACAGGAGATCAATTACGCCCGACCTGTGATAGTGTTGGGACCCATCAAAGACCGCATTAACGACGATCTCATCAGCGAATATCCCGACCGATTCGGTTCGTGTGTTCCGCACACGACTCGCTCCAAACGGGACTTTGAAGTGGACGGACGGGACTATCATTTCGTGTCATCGCGGGAACAGATGGAGAAAGACATACAGAATCACCTGTTCATAGAGGCCGGTCAGTACAATGAGAACCTTTACGGCACTTCTGTGGCTTCGGTACGCGAAGTGGCCGAAAGCGGGAAGCATTGCATTCTGGATGTGAGCGGAAACGCCATAAAGCGTCTGCAAGTGGCAGGTCTTCATCCGATCGCCATTTTTATAAAACCCAAATCTATTGAATCGATTATTGAGATGAATAAGAGGACGACCGAAGAACAGGCGCGCAAACAATACGAACGGGCGGTGAAACTGGAACAGGAGTTCGCCGAATACTTCATAGCAATAGTGACCGGAGACACACCCGAAGAGATCTATGCAAAGGTAAAGCTGGTGATCCACGACCAGTCAGGCCCTACCATTTGGGTGCCCGCGAAGGATAAGCTTCAATGACTTTAATCCATACCATAATATTAACGCTTAATTCTACGACAATTTGACTACAAAAACAAACACTACTTTGAAATTAAAGCTCACATTAAATATTAGACGAAATTATATATTTAATTAAACGGAACGAAAGCCTCAACTTTTACTGACAAATACGCGATCGATGTTTATATCAATTTATTATTAATTGTTTTAATAATTATTGAAATCAATTCTATATTAATTCATGGATTCTTCAAGAAAAAGCATTTAATCATTTGATTTATGAATTATCCGAAAACCTTTTCGCATAAGTTTTTCGTTGTTTTTGGTTTCAAACGAATGGAGAAAAAGTCACTATAATTTTGAAGATATTATATTTTATCCGAATATTTGTTTTTCGATATATATTTGAACTAATAATGAGATGTCATTCGCATAAATGCCAAAACATTATCAATTTTATGGACAATTACTTGTTTTAAAGCAATTTTAGTTGTTTTTATTATAACTTATGATTGTTGTGCACCACAAAGAGTCGGGATCTTTAATATTACCATTCATTACATATTATATAATAATTAATTAATTAATATTTATTTTCAAAACCGCTTTAGTTTTGCTTTTTATTTGTTAGCAATTAATTGACTTTTAGATTATATCTTCATTTCATTTTACATTTTAAATATAGTTTTAAAGATACAAATCATTTCATTGTTCATTACATGTGATAAAAAATAACACAAGAATTGCATCAAAAAAATAACAGATTATAATTTTTAACATTTATTTAAGACATCAATCAATTGAACACAAATTAGAAGACATATTAAAGAAATATATAACAAATTCTGTGCAAAACTACTGCAAAAAATGTTGAACATTATGTTTTTGGTGACCGATTGGCAACTATTTGAACGCAATTTCATCGTCACTATTATTTGTCGTCTTTTCAAATCATTTTAGATTTAATTTTACTATTTTTTCTCGTTTTTAATTCATTTAAATGAATGAACATTTTGTGACTTTTAGTTAATGATCAAAATATTTACTTAAATTTAAGTTTTATTGTTTGATGTATTTATATATTATTTAAATATTATATGAATATTTCAATTTTAAACGATTGTAATCCTATTTTTCTCTCTATATTTTTCTCATCGCTTTTTTAACGACACATCCATTACTAGTAATGAATTTTATTGTTTAGTTATAAGAATTTTACAAAACAATTGGGAAATATTATGTATAACTCATATTAAATATACCTTTTTGTGCACTTTTTATTCAAATGTTCACTTAATTCGTTTCAATTATGTTTTTTAAAACAAAATCTGATCCATTCATGGCTTATGTTTAATAAATTTCTAATTCAAAACTGCTTTTTACCAGTTATTTGCATATTTCCATTAAATTGAAATATATTGCCTAATATTTACTAATAAATTATTAGTTATATTCATTAAAATTCAAACAAAAAATTAATTAAATTCATTAGTAATACATTTCTTCATAAAAACAAAAATATTACGAAAAATTCAATTGAGAATTGAGTTAATTAAGAGAAATAATATTGCACTACATTTTGCACTTTATATTACTTACCGATTCATAACGTTATCTCTATTGAAGTGGCGATTATTCAACACAAAAAACAATTTTAAATTTCAAAATTATTATATAATTGTTATCTCTTTTAATGTATGAAATATTTGGCAAATATTTGTTAGTATTATAAAAGTCTAAATGTATTCAATAATATGAACACCGCTTGTATTTTTGACATTATTATTTAATTTAGTATTGCTTTCTATAAATATTACGAAAATTTAATGTATATTTACATAATAATAATTGTTGATTAAATTGATATACATTTTCAATAATGATTGTGAAATTTCATTAATGATGAAAAATGTGAAGCGTTTATAGTTTGAGTTGATTGCAATGAGATAAATTTATAAAAATACAGTAATATTTCACTTTATTTTACAGCAGTTATGGTTAGTAATTAAGCTATTTTTTGAATATGATTAAAATATCATTATTTTAACCATAATGATCTTTAAGTTATAAAAATATTTATTTAAAAATTTTAATTTAAATAAAGCTAAATATAAATTGAAAAATCCCCATGTTCATAATAGAATTGAATACAATTTTTGTGTTTTTAATAAAACGGTCACATTTGGCATAAATAATAAAATGTTTTCATTTATCAATTTGTGTTAACATTTTGTTAATAAACGAGAGGATAATTAATTTTTCATAACATGTATATTTCATACGAATAATTGATCGCATGTTCAGTGAAATATTTCAATACAACTTTGAATTGAAAATCAATAATAACTCAAACACGACTGAAAAACACATTTTTTACTAACAAATAAACTATTGTTTCAATACTTTAGCGATCATTGATTATATCAAAACAGTTTTTTTGGTCCATAAGTTTTGTTTAGAAAAGTGTTTCGTAACTATCAATGACTTCAATGATGTTTGAAAGTGAAATAGTTATGCGTTTAATAATCCGAAACAATAGGTTTGGGGACTTGTTATAGATTTTGAGCACTTCTTCCAACACTTCAAAATTGGGAATAAATTTATTTCAAATGTTTAGATTTTTTGTGTTTTTCACTTTTGATAAGGAGAAAAAGGCGTAATAATTGTTTTGCAGTTAAATTTATTACAGAATAAATTTTGTTTTGTTGTTTAATTAAAGTATGAATGAAAAATATCTTTAATTAACCTTAATAAAAATGCGAAACAAATTATTATGCGTTAATAAAAATATTCAATAAGTTATAAATAATAACATACGATTGGAAAGTGTTTTTTATTGATGTTTTAATTCACATATAATTATGTAATTATTTTTACAGATGAGTTGCCCAGAGATAACGGTATTTACAAATTAATTAATTTATATATAATTCAATAGATTAGCAAAAAAGAGAGACAGAATGAGAGATAGGAAAGAGAAAAAAGAGTAATAATAGACTACAGATAACTAAACATAAAATATAATTGATTCAAATATAGTGTAACTAAAAGTGTAATTAAGTATTTAAGGCCACTATATGTTCCTGTAATCAAATAGAAATGCAAGAGAAACAAAATGTTAGATTCAAATGAATTAATCATTTAGTTTTTTGTGTTTTATTTTCACTTTTTCCTCAATGCTATGGAAAACGCAAAAATAAATGCATTATATTTTGATGGGTTATAATATTAATACAATGGTTACCATATTGTGCCAAATGATGACTGAAATGACTTCGCGACTCGACATTAGAGGACTGGGCCTCAAGTATTTCCTGATTGTAAGTCCGGATAATTAGGTTTTCTTGAAATTCCGCTATATTTCGATGAAATATTGAAACACATCTCAGCTTTAGTTCCTCTATTTGAAAGTGTTTTCTCTCCATTTGTATTCTCAGCCCTAGTATTAAAGCTCCCGTTTCTTCATTCGTATATCGTATTAGATTTGTTTCATTCACCTATTGTTTAGTGAAACCAATATAAACTATATATTTAATTATATTTTAATGGATTATTGAATTGTTGTTGTGTTTGAACCGTATATTAGTTTAGATGATGTGACAATAATTCTATATAAATAGCCTTTACAAACAATTAAGGTAATTAATCAAATATATTAAAGTATTTCTGACTTGGTTTATATGTGATTTAAAATTTGTGATATTTGTTAAATTAATGGTATATTCAGCGAAAGAAGTTCAATGCATTTTTGGTCCATTTTGACCGCAAAATGAGTCCCTCGAGGGTATAAATCATAGAAATTGAGGGATACTTTAGACTTGATATGAGTCAATGTTTGTATTATATAAAAGAGCATTCATTTTAAATTATAGTTTAAAAGACTAAAGAATTATTATCTTGTGATTTGATGTCAAAACTATAGCTGATATGTCCGATGATTATTATAAATAAAAAATTTAAATTACATCCAGAAAGCAAAATAAATGGCGAAAAATTAGATCAATTATTCAGATTGGTATTGAAATGGCATATTTACTAGTTATTGAATATCAAGTATAGAGATATTGTATATTAATTTTTAGGTTTACATAATGTATACACTATTACATACAATGTCAGACATCTAAACCACTTTTGGCAGACATTGGACACAAAATCTTCTGTAAATATACTGTCGTATAAGAAATTTGGATAAAACTCTTGTATACTATAAATAATAAAAAATTTTGAGATAACGCAAAGAATATCTCTGAAAAGTGTCACAAATTGACAGCAATATTAAGACATAGAGTGAGAGGTGTATTGGTTTTATGTTGCGGTTTCGTTACAACCAACGGTTCAATGTATTTATAGAGCATTTAGTGATTTGTGATTCATATCTGTGTTTATGTAAGTCTTTGGGCGAAGAAGATGTCAATCGACTGGTGAGGAGTCGAAGGGATGCCTTACCTCCACATTCATGACATACCACTTGAGTCGGGCCTCGTGTGCATTCGTAGTGCAGTTTACATTTAGGACTTCGTTTACGTTATAAAACTGTTTAACACCTCTTATTATAGGAGTCTCTCTGTTTGGCTGCAAAGACCAGTCTATCCATCCATCCGTTTATGATGTTTGACAGTAGTTTTGCCAAAATATTTATGCATAAATAAAAACAAACACAAAATTCAATGAATTATAAGAATTTATTTTATGAAAACGATGTGTTTGTGTATATAGTCTGCGGATATCAAGAGAAAGATATTGGGAAAAGGTTTTTGTAGCCAAACATTTTGTTGAAACTAAAAATAAACTGTTTTTCATGCTTTGCTGACTCAATGAAATCCTGAACTTTTTTGTTGCGCCGAGACTTTCATAAATCATTTCTTAAAACTATTGAATTTTAAAATAATAGATACTTTACAAGTATTTCTGCCCTCACTTTTTTAAAGTCTTTCCGTAATATACTATAATTTTTGTTCAGATCATAAATAAGTGTCAAAATTCTGGCCCTAAAAATGTACAACAAATTCTGTGTTAAGAATATTTTTCCTAATATTAATACAGTGTTTCCCAAAATTTCAAAGACAAACGAAAAATTACTTTTCTATTATCGCAATTGCAATACGACTATAATCTCGACAATCATATTATGCAATGTGTATTAACTTTGAAAATTTGTGGATTATATCTGCAAAGTGTGTGTGTTTTAAAGGGGCTATAATCTGAGTTAATCGCTATATCGATGCAAACATTGTGTTTCATATGTATTATATTGATATACATTGTACAATATGAGCAAACCTTTTCTCCAAGAGTACGAACTTCTATGTGATTTATTTCTCTGAGAGCCGGCGATCACATACTCGACGGCTTCAAACTCGTAGACGAGGGTTAGGATTGCCGTACACTTCAGATTCAATAAACCTCTTCTGAAATAATTAGGTGTGGCGTAAAGTATGAGTCCCTGTTTACTGCTCTGTAGGCCATCGGCATTGGTCTGAATCGGATAGTCGATCACTTGGTGTGGAGAGGCCTTTCAATTTGTCCGATAGATTATAAATAGATTGTAATACAAAATATGAAAAGAATAAATAAGATAAAAAAAGGCACACAAAAACTTTCGCAAAATAAATGCCAAACAAAAATAAAATTAGAGTTTTATTTTATCAAAACAGTGGGAAAAAAACTTAAATTCATATTTGATAGAAAACGTGTCAATGGATTGTATTTTGATTTTGAAGTGCATTTGATGTGAGAGGAAGAGAGAGTGCGGGAGAAAGAGAGGAGAGATATAGAGGAAGATATGGGGAATCAATAGAAGAGCATATGATTGTTATACCATATTGTCATTGATGAACCAATTGAGCCGCGGATAGGGTCTGCCGTCTCCTGATTTACAGCTCAAATTGATCTTATCGTTCAAATCATACGAGGCTTCAGAGCCTTCTATTCTTAGGTTTTCTTTGGGAAGAACTGCCAGTCATTACATAATGAGACGGATATGCAGTGAAAGAGACGAATATTTTATTAGAATTAAATAAATGGCGAAAAAGCTGTGAAATTAGATTAAAATATATATATACAGTATATTCTGTTTTTTGTATAACTTATTGCAAACTGAGTCTCAATTTTATTAACTGCACTCTAATTATGATAAGTCAATCCCAAAACGTTGCGCTAATTGTTAATTTCAATTACATATAACAGTTGAATGAAAGAGTTTTTGAATGATAAATGACTTTTGGACGACACTCTCGAAGTGAGACGCGAGAGAGAGAGAGAGAGAGAGAGAGAGAGAGAGAGAGAGATAACTAAATTACATTTAAGAAAGTGAATGACAATAAAACTTATTTTTCTACTCTTCTTCTACTCCTTCTTCTTTTTGAATAACTTATATCTAAAGTAATTATAGTTTATTAGAGAACAGAAAGAAGCAAAAAAATATGAGTAAATATACAGTGAATGAGAATTTATTAAACAGTATTTAGCACTCGTTCTCCATATAATGTATGCAAACATTTATTTAGTGCTGAAAATATGTATTTCATTTGCATTCAAAGCTCAAAAAGCATACATATGTTTGTCTTTCGTTTCCTATTTGTTGTTTTAATTTTGCGAAAAATCTTTTATTAATTCACAGATTAGTTCCGCTCAACGAACTGATGGCGAGTTTACATAAATTTGTATCATTTTATCGGTTATAAAATTTAATGAATAAAAATTTTATTAAATGTCTATTGTTGTGGTTTTACTCTCTCTCTCTCTCTCTCTCTCTGATATTAACTAACTTTAATAGAAAAGTGAAGAATTCAATCGTTTGAAAGCCGTTGTATTCAATGCTATATATATTTTAAATGTTTGATTTAAATTCGTGTCTCGTATGAGATGTGTTGGCAGTGTTGGCACTGTTGGCACTGTTAGCCCACAATTGCATTATTTATTAGCCTTCAGTAATATTGTTGACGAGTATTTGGTCTCTCTTTTTGTTATGTGTATTGTTTTATGATATAAATTGTATACAAAATAATTTGCATCAATTCATAGCCATTCATACAATGGCTTTGCTATTATTTATACGTCTATTACTGTAATTGTAATTCATTGCAAATAAAATGCGTTCAAAATGTGGCTCATAATGAATACATCAAAAAACTTTTTTTGTTTGTATTTTAATAAAAGGTACGATTACTGACTGGTATTGGGTTTTATTTATGCAAATACAGAGCAAAGTCTGCTAATTAGGCGAGAGTGTGCTCTTATAGTCCCCGAGAGGCATACCATGAAATGCAATGAATAATTTTTGATATATTTTATATATAAAAATTTGATGGATTAATATTTGAAATTAAATTAGTCCTCCATTTGATGTCTCCATTGAAAGCACAGGTCGTCGCCGACTATAATATGTGTTTGAAAAATAGTCTGCAAAATGTAATCAAATTTATACATAATTTCTATTTATTACTTAATTCACTCAATACTTGTGCACATTATTTGTTAATATTCTCTTTGATCGCAATTTTGTTTTATAACTTTATTACATATAACATAGTAATGAAAAACTTAATGATATTTTATTAAATCTATTGTATATATCGCTTGAATTTTTGAACATATTTTTCTCTCATAAAATATTTATGGAGTAAAGCGAATAGAAAATACAAAATACAGTGATATATGTATAAAAACTATATACAAATTTGTGAAGTTTTTAAAAATAATGTAAACTTTTTTGAATAGTTTGCAAAGAAATTTGACTCGAAATCAGATGTTAAGTATTGGGTAAGACTTACGCAAAACAAGAGAATATAAATTGTTTGCCATAAATATTGCTTTTGTTGTTAATAAAGAGTGAGAAAGAGAGCGGCGATGGAGAAGAAGAGAAGGCATTGATTCCCAATATCAACATAAATAGATTCAACAAAATTTATTTGTTATCAAAACTTTTCACAGAAGCAAAAGTCAAATTTTTTAGTCAGTTTTTTGTTTGGCAAAGATTTATGCGATACTGAATAAGACTCGAGAGCGTAGCCAACAAAACAGTATTACCTTTTCTGTTGTTAGACTCCAGTTGTTTGCAAGTCTCAGAAAAAAATATTTAAATATATTTTTTTTGCATATGAAATGAATTCTTATGCTCAATATTATTGCAAAGGCTTTTATTATTAAATCAATTTTTGACACTTTTTCTTCACTTTGTTTTATGAGCCCTTTTTGCCTAATTTTCTAATACTATGTATTGTTTTTAATATACACTGACTTTTTATGTGTTAGTCGTTGTATTGAATTCATTTAAAATAGTTCTTGTGTTTCATTCATTTATATTATTAACAGAATAAATATTTAATAGTTTTGCAATTTTGGTATTAATCACACAAACATTTTTTGTCATGTTTTTTATACAATATATAAACGCCGTATACATTGGACACCACTTTATATAATTAGGTTTATTATATTCACGATAATTTTTGTGAACATTTTTCGCTTTCATACGGTTTTATGTGCTTTTTATTTGTTGATTCGATTGACAGACATATTCTTGCAGTCGTTTTAAGGTTTTTCACTCATTTTTATCAAATTTTTGTTGACATCTCTTTATACTATTTATGAGACTTTTTTTTGGGGACATTTGAAAGCAAAATGATTGCAATTTTACGATAAGAGTCCAGTTATTGATCGATCCTTTTATTCAACTCATATTCACTCAAAGGGTTTGTTAAGTAAAAGAAGTTAAAGAAGAATAAGTTTTTTATCACAATATGTTTTGTGTTGCGAAAAAACATGGGTTTTGTTGTCTGTAAGAAATATGAACTCTTCGCTTGAGTCCTATTTTGTAGACTTATTTTATTTCAATTTTATACAATATTCTGTCTGTTGTTAAATGGACGACAACTTATGTTTGACCAAATAGTGAACGCATAAGCCTTTATATTATAAGCCAATTGTAGGCAACAAAATAATATTTTTATCGATGTCCTTTTTTTGCTGTTGAAAGCCGTAAGATTAGGGCCTATATATAGATATTTGTCTATAAAAGTCTCTCTCTCTCTCTCTCTCAGAATAGAGCACTAAATTAGGAAACCATTTGCCAAAGTATTTGAAAAGTTCATCAAAATTCAATACATACCATACCATTGGTAGCCAATGCTAACAACAGTTTTCTTTCAAACCAATGTTTTTAGTTTTATTTTCATCCAAAGACGTGATTCTCATCGTATATATTGTGTGTGTATATCACTAGCGATACAATTATTTTTCATTTATATTATTATTATATTAACGATTGGCCAGTAATTAGCGCTACGGTATGGAGAGAGAGAGAGAGAGAGAGAGAGAGAATCGGTTCAAAAACTTTATGACACTTGGAATCAAATGTGATTAATGTTATGAATGTCAATACGGGTGACCGGCATATACTCTCTCCCTCTCTCCTCATCACGATTAGGACCGGATTAGTGAACCGAACACTCCTTCTCCACAATATTTGATCAAAAATAGATGGAAAACCATATTATATATTATATTACACTCTAATCTCAATGAGAGTTATATCACATTTTGGCTCCAACTGTGGGTTCAATGATTATGTTGTCGTTTGCCTTCAAAAAACTAATTGCATTTTTGTAATAATTATCGCTACAAAACACAACACACAGTGAATTGTCTCTCTCTTTGTTAATATTTGATGATTCAATTGAATGGATCGCAGATCACGTGATAATCTTGTTGTTTAAAAAAACATAATTGAATTTTACTCTAATCTACGGTTTGGTCCCTAATATTGAGTTTGCAAATAATTTGGTGCAAAGGATTTCAATAATTTATACATAATCTCTATTCAATCTAATCACTAAACAGTGCTATAGTAATGACAAGCGTTTATTTTGTCGATTTTTAATCATTTTCATTTAAGGCAAACAATATAATATACATGTAAACTGAATTAATACTTTAATTTTGTAAATATTATTTGTTTTCAATTATGTGTGAAAATGTTTATTAATTAAATTCATTAAACAAGAATAAAGTGCATAAATTTGATGTTTTAGCACATTATAAAACGTTTATTAACATTAATGATCATTATATTCTACTAAATACTAATTAGTAAACTAGATAATATATAATATTATACGAAAAATTAAAATATTTATTACAATAATAATAGTAATACATACTGTATAACAAACATATAAATTAATGTAAAACTATATTTCAATAGTAAAGTACGCGAAAAAACATTTTCCTTTAAAAGCCACTTCTCTGTAATACAAATGCGTTTTGAAGGCAAAACTTTTTCACTCAAATTTTAATGCTTTTTTGTACACATCTATTGTCTATTCATTTAACATACATTACATATTGTAATGCATTTCCCAATTCTTGTTATAATAATTATTGTCCTTCCCTTTCAACCATTCATTCATTCAAAAAAGTGAATTCATATATATTTCGTGAGGAATTAATTTGACTCTTAATTATATTGTCGTTTGATTTGCAAATACAATGCAATCCAGTTATACCTATCAAAAGGATAACCTTATTATACATAACATTTTTATGTCTAAATTATATTGTTTCTAATGTTTGAGTGTTAATAATAGAGACCAAATCATATAAATCAATATACATTGTATAAGAGGCACATTTGTGTGACAATGAAGTGTCTCTTATTAGCGGATAGGACTGTATTGAGAGATGAAATGGAAAAATAAGAAAAATGATATTTTTTGAATATTCACTTTTTAACGATATCTTTATTTTTTGCTGAAAATTAATCGTTTTTGACTCATAGGAGCGCTGATATACATTATAATTATGTTTTTTCCTCCAAATTATTTGAATTCACAGAAACATTAAAAATAATAGAGCCTTCAGTCAGAAGTGTTCTTGACTTTAGAGTCCAATCCATAAGTTATTATTAAAAAAGAAATGCAATTTTGTTATACAAATGAAATTTTGAAATCTATACACATATGAGAAAGTCATACCTATTTGGACACGAAATAAAAGGTTGAAATCTGTTATTTCATGACAACATAATATTATTTTCTATTTTTCCCTATATTTTGGGTTTAAATTTTCAACAAAAATAGTGCAAAAGTTTTTTTGCATTCAATTTTCAGCGCGTTTAACATTCGCTGCGAAAAGAGTATTATTATTATATTTTAGAGAATCCGAGAGAGAGAGAGAGAGAGAGAGAGAGAGAGAGAGTCAGCAAAGCGTAACTCAAAACCATTACTCGAATGTGTTATTACTGTTATTATAATAGATTTTTGGCTCACATTTCACTTATACTCATAATTCGATTCATCTATTGATGAGTTAAAGAATTCTCTCTCTCTCTCTCTCTCTTTCATATTATTTATATTTTGAGTCAAAATTGTAACATACTTTGCAGTTAAAGCTCATTCAGACCCCACTCTCTCCCTCTAAATGATAATACTCTCAATTGAAATGTTAAATAATGTGTATTTACTATAATTTTATGAGTGACTGAAGAAAATTCCAGTCATTTATACCAAATATAAACAATTTTTTCGAAATTTCTCTTTTTATAATACAATTCAATATATATTTTTAGACTCGAAATGAATTGATTTGTATTCATAAGTAAAACACATTTTCGTTGCACTAAACTTATGGTTAGGTTTTGTTAACAAATTGTCTGCAAATATATTCCAATAATATAATTGAAGTCAAGTATTGATTGCATGAACTCATTATAAAAGCTAATCATTCATAATGTCATTTGAATTTATTATATTCAATACAATTATACAATTTCTCTTCACAAATATTAACCAATAATTCTTCTCATTTTGGATAACAAATAGACACCAAAAATACAGCAGAAATTCTCTTATTTTTTTCAATACAAATGTAGACTTTAATAGTTTGTGTTTTCAAATGAACTTTTAATTAATATCTCATTTCCTTATACTGTAGTTAAACATGTTTTTTGATAAATAATATCTTTAAGTCTAGTTTTTTATTTTAAATGTATTTTCCTATTGAATGGAAATGAATAATGAGATGATATTAAAGTGAGAAAATCGATTCGCTTTTATTCAATATTATCTCAATTTGTTTGAATAGTCGCCGAGTTTTAAACAAATGAAATGAAAATTGAATTCTCGTTTCTTATTAAAACTTTATTTACATTCAAATAACACACCGAAAAAGTGCATTAAAAAGGCCGACATAACTATTTCTTGATTACATTGGATAGCAATGGAAACAACAAATATTTCTTACGATAAAAAATGTAAATAAACTTCTTATTTGTTGTTAGACTTTGAGATAAATTATATTTGCCTTTAGTTTAGCCCTTAGAGTGACCTCTCATTTGACATCTATATCCGTTACTTTAGCCGCAGATATGATTACAAACGATAGTAAAAACTTTTTATCATTAGTTAAACGAAAACAAGTGTTTAAACAACTCGTCGAGTGGTCAACAAAACCAAATTATGCGATAAAATATG